TTTACTAGTGATCATTGAGAACATTCAGTGGTAATTTCTCATTAAGTTTTCATTTTGATCTCTTCTAGAATATATTTGTTCGTGCCTGCTTAATTACCTTAAACAATGCTTGGCTTGGCATTCAAGGATATTTAGCAATCTGGCCCCTGCTTACTTTCCTAACTTCATCTCTTAATATTCTTCTATTTTCTCTATCAGCCCAGGCCATAGCCAGCTTCTTTTTATTCCCCATAACCTACTATGCTTTCACTATAATTCTGTGCCTTCATTCATGCTGATTCTCCAGCCAGGAGTGCTTTTACACCCATACCTGCTGGTAAAATCTTACTCTTCCTTTAAGATGCTTTCAAGCACCAATTCCTCTCTGAAGCTTCCTGATACACATCTCTGTCCATTCCAATATCATTCATAGAGTCACTTAACTGTTGTCATAGTATATTAAAATTACCTTTGTTAGGACTTATACTGTTTTGTAATTTTTTTCTTTATGTCTGTTTTCCTCACGGGACCAAATTTTTTAAAAGCAAGGCATATGTGTTGTTATTCTTTGAATACCTGATCACAATGCTGGGTACACCTAAAAATGTGTCAGAAGTGTTTGCTGAATTAATGCATGCATAAATGATTACCAGGCACATTATAGAACTAGCTAAAGCTCCTCCTTAGTGAGAACTTTATGTATACAAAAGCACACACCAAACACTTACTCATTCACTCACATAACTCTTGGAATTTACCCAGGAAAGGGGCCTCTCTAGGATTAGTTTAGGACCATTGCCATAGGCTATGGTGGTTAAACTGGCCCTCTTTCCAACCCACCTGGAAAAACTCAACTTTCTGTCTTCTCTTTAAATCATTTAAATCTCAGATTCCTACGGAAGTCTTTTTTTCTATAATTTCTATTTTCTCCCCATACACAATCTTTCTTTATCTAACTCAAAGTTTGCCTTTACACAAACTGTGATATGGGAGATGAAGGGTGAATTAATCAATCCAAGCCACTCGGTGAAGTTGGAGCGAG